ATGGCAGAGCTGGAGCTCAGGAATGGGAATTGCTCTGAAGTCAGTGGGGCTGGAAGCAGAATTTTGGGGTCTAATTCCATCACCCCCCGCTTTGCCTGGTTTGTCTGCTCTAAGCTGAGCTCTCAGGGAGGCAGGAACACAAAGAATATTCTTTAATCGTTCCCAGAATGCCAAGAAACAACTCCTGGGACGAGATTAAACGGGAACAAATCCTCACCGTGCTTGAGGACAACGTGGCCGGGCACGGAATGTGCTCCCGAAGTTGTCCTGGTTCACCCCTGGAAACAAGGCCATCTCTACCAGAATTTGGTAGAGGATTTGGTGAAATTGAAGTTTTCAAGGTCAGGTGGGTTGATGAGGTCGGGTACAGGATGTGGTGAGCCCGTGGAATGGGATGAGGATGAGGATGAGGAAGGATGCAGCTGCCCCTGCTGGATACGGTGGCTTCCCACCCACCAAAATTCCACTGCACCGTTGGAAACCTTCCCCAAAATTCCCCCCAAACAAAGTGTGTGAGGAGATGCCTTGTCAAGCCACCACTTGACTTTTGAAGCAGCTTCATCGAGAAGCCTTTAATTAACCATCTTAGACCTTTCCTTCCCCACCTACAAAGAGGCTCCCAGAAGGATCCTCTTGAGAAAAGCAGAACAAATTTCAGCCTGTGCTTGGCATAATTTGTACGAGGAAAATTCCCTCTGACTTAAGGACTTCTCAGCAGTTAAAAAATGTGGGCAGATTTGGGGGTGACAGAAGGACACTGGCTGCGTTTGGGGTTCAGGTTGCTGCAGAATGAGGGATTTCAGCAGTTCATGATGGGATTTTTATCAGGGTTTTTTTTTTTTTAGTGAACAGAATAAAATGTGATTTTTTTTTCTTCTGGTGAATAAGCTCTTCAAGTGCATTTCATTGTATGTAGGTATTTTAAAATAGATCCTCTGTATATGAAATATTAATTTTCCATGGTAGGACAAAATACCCTAAAGTCAATTAAGGTATTAAAGCCAATCCTTTATTTAATTTGAAGGAGGAGGGTGTTTCAGACTGAAAGCAGATCCATGGGAGATGGTGGAGTTTGAATTTACTAAAAGAAGTGGCTACAGCTCCGAGTTGTTTTCCCATAGGGATGAGTGAGAATGACCAATAAATCAACTCCTTTGTATCCTTAATCCGGTGTATCCTTTGGCCTTCCCAGGGAAGAAAACAACCATAAAAAATGTAACATTAGACATGCTGGACTCAGGTGGAGAGTTCCTTTAGTTTTCCCAGAACAATTCCCTTGGAATTGCAGAAACCTGGAACACAACTTGAGGGATGTTTTAAGGCTGCAATTTAATCAGTGCTTGAGTTTGGAAAACTAAATATAACCCCGGGGAGAGCCTGCTGGAGAGCAGAGGTAACTCCTGGTCAGTCCCAGGCCTGGAATAAAACAACCTTGCTGTAGTTTATTTTCCTCTTTTGTCTCTCAACCAGCAGGAAAGCTGGAGGAGGGAGCAGCATCCCTTGTCACATCCCGCTTTTCCAGCTCCAAACCACACCCAACCCCGTGCCAGAGGGAGGGAATTTCTGATCCCTCCTGCAGTGGGAGTGTGATGCTCCCAGGAGAAGGGTGGCAGTGCTGAAAAGCAGAAAAGCCTGGCTGTGTCTGGGGTCTCTCAGAGCCCAATTCCAGAGGGATGGAAGGGGCAGATGCTCTCACCAGTTGCTCCCACGTCACGACGTCTGTGGAACATCAGCACAACCATGCCACCTTGTGTCAGCTGCTGTCTCCTCCTCCTGGCCTCCTGGCCTCCAGCAGTCAGGAGAAAGGCAGCCCACCAATTTTCCGTGTGTGGATGCACTTTGGGCTTTAAAATCTGGAATAAAGGCGTTGGATTTCGCGGTTTTTATTTTCCAAATTCACCCGTGGTGAAGTCGAGCTGTTGTGTGTGTAGGGGGGTTGTGGGTAATTCTGGGCTGCCCCAAACTCCCTGCTGAAGGGTGGGCTGTGCCCCAGCTCGGGGGGAATTCGGTCCATTACATTCCTGCCTCTAATTAATAAATAGGAATTAATTGAAGCTCTGCCTCTTGGCTCCCCAGTCGGCAGCAGAGTACGTGAAGTCCCGCCTGCCCGAGGTCCTGAAGCAGCACCTCCAAGACTATGAGAAGGACAAGGAGAACAGTGTCCTGTCCTACCAGACCATCCTGGAGCAGCAGATCTTATCCATTGACCGGGAAATGCTGGAGAAGCTGACGGTGTCCTACGATGAAGCAGGTAGGGTCGTGTCTCTTTTGAAATTCCATTTTCCTGCTCAGTCTCTCTCCAGACACCTTGAGCTGGAGGGTTGAGCTTTGTCCTCGCAGGCAGGAGGTGACCCAGTGAAATATTGCTCTCTCCTCAAGCTGAGGTAGAAAATGTTCCCCCTTGAGTGATGGAATGTCAACCAACTGAGAGGACACTTCTTCTTCTCCCAGCACTTTGTGCTCTCTGCACTGATGGTGATTGATCTGCCTGTGCCTCCTGATTGTCTCTGCAAGTGGTGCCACCTGCTTTTTGCTCTTTTCTCCTTCACAACTAACTTCTTTTTGGGGCTTTCCCAGCTCAGAGCGTGCTGGCTGGTCCCAGAGCCTGATTTTAAATGTCCACGATGCACGTGGACAGCAAAACCCAGGCAGTTTGTGTGTGTTTGGAGGCATTTTAACAGTGCAGTTACAGGGGTTTTCTGCTTTGATAATTACTTTTCACTAGCATGTTGTTCTCTAGTAGGCAGAAATGTCTTGCAGCTTTTACCTGATGCAGGGACTCCTTTACAGTCCCAAGGAAAAGACACACTCTCGATGCTTTTCACTGATTTTCCAAAATAGCCCCCAATAAATCCCGTTTGCCCTGAATTTTCCCAGGTTTCTCAGTGTTTAAATAAGTTGGTAACTTGCAGAAAGAGCAGTTCATGATTTCACTGCTGAGTTCATGTTCATGGCAGGCAGTTGGGCTGGAGGTGTGCACGGAGATCTGAAAGGTGCTGTTCTTTGTTCTCCACTCGTGGCTGAGCCTCGGAATTCACCCTCTCCTTTCATCCACAGCCCCACCCACCACCAGCCTCAGGCAGCCCTGGAGTACAAAAAGAGAGTTTATACTCAGTATGTCCCCATTTTGGGGCTCTTTCTTACCCCCTGTGGCATTCCTGGCTCTGTCCCTCCCCTGGTGCCCCCCGGGGAACTGTGCTGAGCTCAGCTCCAGTTTTTCCTTCCAGCTGCTTTAGGCAGAAGCCTTGAACTCATAGCTGGGTTTTTCACCCTGTTTAGGCGGCTTTTCACCTTGTGTAGATGGTTTTTGCAGACACTGCCCTGTGGATTCCTCTGGGTTGGTCACTGCACCCTGATAAAGTTGCCACCATCCGAGTCCCTCGTCACTCCCAGCTCTGGCAAACCCGGCCCTGCCAAGCTGCTGGCACTTTGTTCTGTCATTTCTACTCACACTGAAGTGCCCCGAAGTGCTTAAGATGCTCCAACTACTTATCAGCTTTGTTCAGGCTCCTCCTCAGCCTCCCCCTCACCGGCACCGAGATTCTCTCTGAGCTCCTTTGATCTCCGGGGCACTCAAAATGCCATTTGCAGACTCTGGGTGCTCACAGGGCTGGGGAGCTCTGCTGGAGTCAAGTAATTAGCAAGCTGTGTCACTTCATCGATGATATCCCCTCATTAACCCGAGAAACGAGGCTGCTGCTCTCTCAGCTCCTGTGATCTGAGGTGCTCTCCAGCCCCTTGGCAAACAGGAGGAGCTCGGAGTTCTCCAAGGACAGGAGTTAAAAATGAGGGTGCAGAACATCTCCTTAATCACATGTGGCCCGTTTTTTAGTGATGCATGAGAAGATCAGCTTCCCAGTCAGGTGGGGACACCTGTAGAGATGAAAACACGGTGAGGGAGCCCTCTCATCATTTCAATCGTGGCACTTGTTTACTAGAAAGGCAGAAATGGTGCTCCCTGCTCTTGAAATGAGGTGTGATTGTGAGCAAGGCACAGAAAAGGGGAGGTTAAACAGAACTGAGCAGCTGTGGGTGATCCCAGGGGCCCCAGCTGCTCAGCCCTTGGTGGTGGCATTTTCCTTTTTCTTGGCCTTTTTCCACACCAAAATGAGCTCAGTGAGAAACTCCAGCTGATGGTGAGGGGGCCACGAAAAAAATGAAAGAAACAATCTTTCAAAATCCAAATGGGGGAAATAAAGTGATGGTGATGAAAGGGAATTAGGTTAAGGGATCAACCAGACCCACCCTGGAGTGTGTGTTGTCCAGGGTTTAATTTCTGTCATCCCGTGGAATTCTGCCACGTGTCAGCCCCTGGGAACTGGACAGGGAGATGTTTAAGGTGATCCAGGGGTTGATAGCTGCATCTACAGGAGCACTTCCACACCTTTCCCATCCAGGAAACCTTTCCCATCCCTCCCATTTTCCAGGAGTTTGCACCCCCAGCTCACCCCGTTCTCCCAGGGGTGTCTCCCAAAGCAGACGGAATCCATCTGCATCCACTTACCCTAAAATGGCTTGGGCTTTGGCACAAGTCTGCAGGTCGATTTGGCCTCTCTGACAACATTCAGTATTAATAAAATGCAGCTTCCATGGGCTCAGCATCCCAGTGCCTCTTTGGGAACCTTTCCCTTTAGGAAATCAATCCCTCAGAGCACCCAAATGGAACGAATCCGTCCGAAAAAAAACCAGTCGATGCTGACAAGCTTGGAGGTTTGACTAAGGAAGCTTTACAAAATGAAAGGAGGCCAAAAGTGACAGACGGATACAAATCCTCTCATAATCTTTAAATCCCTTAGTTTAAAAAGTGGCATTCTTGACTGAGGCCGAGGTAATTTGGGGCAGGGATATTTTCTCCCCACGCAGCTTTGTCGGCTCGTTAATCCCATTCCTTTGATTTACAAACATCTGGGATGGAAAAAAAAAAACAAAAAAGTGCAAAGTTTGGGTATTTTGAAGGCATTTTGGATTTTAACAGGGAGCTCAAACCTGCTGGGAGATTCCAGAGGTGGTTTTGTCCTGGAAGCAATTTGGTTTTCACTAAAGGATGGTCCCTCTCCCCTCCAGAGTCCTGCAGAAATTGAGTTTCATTATTGCCCGACAGAAGAGATGAATTTCAGCTCTCCCTGCTGTCAGGCAGTCAGGGAAGATATTGATATTTAGGAGCTGCATCCGTGTCAGCCCAAAAAACGTGTTTTCTGAGCTGATATTTGCTGTTTGGGGGTGAGGATTGAGCTCAGCCAACCCCAGGATGCCCCTTTTCCCATGACCCTGCTCCCTTCCTGCCACTGCAGAAAGGAGGTGTTTTCCCCCACCCAGAGAAAGAGCTTACAAGAAGAAAATGAGGACATTAAAGCAGGAAATAACAGGGATAATAAATGCTTTGTTAGGGAAAAGTGTTGGGTTTTTTTTTGTCTCTGCAAAAGGAGCTTTAACAGGGAATTTATCATTATTGCTGTGAGGATAAATAAGTTATCAGGGCTGGGACTGGGGTGGGTGATTCTAAGAGTAACCCATTAAAAAATGCAGAATAAATCTGTTGGGATCCAGAGTCTTTGTGCTTTGGGGTTCTGCTTTCCACAGAAGGCTGCTCAAAATGTCCTTCCCAGCCCTTGCTTGCCTACCTGGAAACCACTTTTTTGGTGTTGAAAACTCTACAGGAACCTGTTAGTCTGTGGATACACCCCAAATATGGGGAATATAAGATTAATGGTGAACAGGAGTAACTGTCTAGGTTTAGGTGGGATATTGGGAAGGAAGTCCTGGCTGGGAGGGTGGGCAGGCCCTGGCACAGGTTGCCCAGAGAAGTTGTGGCTGCCCCTGGATCCCTGGGAGTGTCCAAGGCCAGGTTGGAACAACCTGGGATAGTGGAAGTAAAAACAGTATTTTAAACAGCCAGGTAGGAATTGTTCTGTGTTGGAGATTAAGCTTCAACCTTACAGATTCAAAGTAATTTCTACATCCCTCTAAGAACCTGATGTTTCTTTTAATCTATTTTAAAAGAAGGAGTTCTTTTAATTTTCGGGACCAAAAACCCCACGTTATGTAGAGCTGATTAAAGAATTGTGAGACCTCGAATTTTCAGGAGGGTTATTTTTAGGTTCAGGCTTTGCAGAACTGAATTTTGATAGCTGGGAAGAAGGAGCAGGTGCAGCTCCTTTTGGGAACCATCAGCACTGAGGGATTTGGGAATTGGTGCCTGGATGGTGTGTTGGCTCTTTGGTCCCACACGCTTTGAGGAAAAGGAGGTGGGTGCTTTAAAAACCCCACATGTCAAAAGCTCCTGGGAGCATTCACAGGCACCCAGCCCAGGAATTTGTCAAAACTGTGTATTTGGGAGATTACCACAGCATTTCCCCTCATCTGTGGGGCTTCTGCTGAAAGAAATCCCGTGGCTATTTTGAAATATTTTCTAACCTAGAAAGGAGTGAAGGGCAAACTGTTGTGCAGGACCTGGTTTGTCCCTCCTTTTCCATGCAGAGGTGGCGTTTTGGGGGACGTCAGAGCAAGGACAGGGCTCCAGCCCCTGCAATTCCTGCTGCTCCCATCCCTGCTGCAGCACATCTGCTCCGGGCTGTGTCATCGCTCCTCTCGCAGATAATCGCCGGAGAATTAGATTTATTTGGATGGGAGCTGTTGGGTCACTTGGAGGGCAGGTGGAGCAGGAACTCCGGTTTTTATCCACATTCCGAAGGCAAAGACTCCCTTTGCACTTACTTTGGTTGGTTTGTCTCAGTCCTGCCCGTTCCGGGGGGGGGTGATCAAAGTTTAATTTGCATGGCCCGAGGGGGATGGAAAGGAGAAGAGCAGGAGACACGTGGAGGGGCTGATGGGCACAGAGGGACACAGGGTGAGCCATAAAAATGTCCCATTTCTGCCCTGGAAACCGCTGGAGGCTTATTGGTTGGGATTTAAAATCCCTGGAAGGCAAACGGAGCTGTGTGGTCTGTAAATGAGAGCGATGGTGTGAGTTGCTGGTGGGGAACAAACACAGATGTAAATCTGGACTGTGGTTTGTGCCGCTCTTTGCTCTGTTCTCAGTCATTCTGCTTCTTTCTGATGGTTATTGAAGCTCAAAAATACCAGTTCTTGCCTAATTGTTGTGTGAACTGAAGCCTGAACACTGTGAAAAAAAGATGGGAGTGGAGTTTGTAGGTTGGTTTTTGTTTGAGTTTTAATCAATCCAGCCCTCTGAGGACCAAATACATAGAAAATAAAATCGGGTATATAAATATATATGTATATACATTATACATATATTATATAAATATAATTGATGTGTTGATTATAACATATAAAATATGGAATATAATTATATATAGAATGCAGTTAAAATATATTTATATATAATTATACATATATTCATTTTATATATGATATTTTATAAATATAATTAATTTATTAATCAGGTGGTTTCTTCCCCTCATTAAAAAAAAATAAAATATCCACAAACTGCTACTTGGACTTCTCCAAGGTGCTTTATCTGATGCTAAAACACTAAAATACACCAATAATCTTACCTGACTTAAAAAAAACCCCAACATCTCCACAGCCAGTGTAGTACAGGCTTTTAATTTTCAGCTGATTTCCTCTACAAAGAGCTCAGCAGTGCCTGACTGAGGCTGCCCCATCAGGGCACTCGTGTAACGGGGGGTGTTCTCACTTCCAGGCCCTTTTCCTGCTGGGAATTTTCCATTGGGCATTAAATCCGAGGCTGCTGCCAAGGGCTCGGCGTTTCCTCGCCCCGCACGAGGTTAAACGAGCGAAATAAAAACAGATGGGAAAGAAAACAAAGGGAAATGAATAAGTTTGCTTTCTCGGGGCAGGTCAGGGATGGAAAGGATATCCCAGCCATCCATCAGAGAGCTGATCCTCCCTAAATCACCCTGCAAATCACCCTCTGTTTCCTCACTGGTTTTACATCTCCCAGCTTTTATTTCCCACCCAAACTCCCCAGGCAGCTGTTCCTTCTCTCCCTGAAGTTGCTGATCTCTTTTGATCTTGCTGATCTCTTTTCCAACCCAATGGACTCTCGGAAGTTTATCCGAACTCTTCCCCCAAGCCCTGCAGGCACCACAAGGCTGCTGGGATGTTCTGCAGGGCAAGTTCCACCAAGAAAAGCGAGGCAGGTGCTGTTTGTTGCTGTGATTCTCTCGTTGCCCCTCTTGGCACAGCCTTCACACCCTCAGGGCCAACTCCTGGAGCCTTCTGAAGGGATAATTCCGGAGCAGGACACTCGTTTTTTGGGATCCTGGCGGGCAGGTTCCTCTCTGTGCCCTGTCAGCAGTGAGCCCATTAAGCTGGGCAGTTTAGCAACAGATGGGAAGCCACATCCATAAAGGTCTGCAGCGTGTCCATCCACTGCACAAAAATTATTGGTAAATATATATATATATATTTATCTGTGCCTGCCTTGTGAAAAAATAGCTCTGGTTTAGGGCTGTGCAGGGCAGCCCATTAGGTCAAAAATAAACCTTGGGGACACAGGGCATCTGAACACAGTTTGTTTATTCCTGGCTATTTTATTTATCCTAGTCATGGGATATTTATCTGCTGCCGTGGGAACAGCAAAGCAGAACCTTGAGCTGTGTTTTGGGCAGAGGTGCCACGAGAATTTGGTTTTTGAGGCCACAGAGCACAGGCTGAAGGTCTGCTCTGTACCAGCACTGCTGATGGAGTTTCATCCCCAACACTGGGCAGGCTAGTCCCAAAGTGCTTCTCCCAGAGATGTGATAAACCTCTTTATTAATGAATTACCACATGTAAATTAATAACAGAGGTGAAAACTCAACCCTGTGCTTCTCTGGTCTGCCTGAAAGAAAAAGGGCGCAGCATAAAGTTAATTTTATTATTTACTGCTGAGAAATTCCAGAGCGCCTCTTGTAACTGTGCCATCAGTGCTAAAATTCCCTTTTAATCTTTGCTCCCTTTTAACCTGCATGTCTAAAAACTCACTTGCCATCTTTGGATTCTGGGGCATGAATGAAATGGTGCTGTCTGGTCCAAAGCCCATGCCAGGAATATTTGTAATAGCTGGAGTTTTTATAAATACAGGTCCTGGTAGCTGGAGGGGAAATGTAGAAAAGTCATGGTCCTAATAAGGTCTGCTTTGTCCAATATCCATCCCTCTCTATCAGTGAAAGAGGAAAATACAAACTGTGATGTTCACACCTGAAAACCACCCCATTTTTCCAATGATTTCCTGCCACATGAGCCAACAAACACCTGTTGGATACAGTGATCAATGACTAATTACACCTGCTGTGTTCTGAGAGGTCAAAGTAATTAAAAATGTCCACTCTTTTCCTTTTTTTTTTTTTTTTTTTTTTTCACATAAAGAAGTGACCTCAGCTGTGGAGGGGACGAGGGGAGGGAAGCTCTGGGGTTGTCCTAGCACCATCCACTGCTGCAGGTTCAGTTTCTTGGGAGCAGCCAAGGGGTAATTGGTACTTTAATGACTTCCCTTGGCCATGAGGAAAAGCCCACCCAGGGAACCATTCCAGTGCCCAGGGCTGGGGGACAAGGTGGGACTCGATGGTCTTGGAGGGCTTTCCCAGCCTCCAAGATTCTGGGATTCTGGGACAGCAAGAACATTTCCCAGCTAATAATTCACATGCCTGCATGTCCACCCCCCTCCCCACGTGTCCCCTTGGCTCCCCTCTCCCTGTGTTTTTCCAGGCACGACGTGTCTGATCGCGCTGTTGTCCGACAAGGAGCTGACCGTGGCCAACGTGGGCGACTCCCGAGGGGTCCTGTGTGACAAGGATGGCAATGCCATCCCCCTGTCCCACGACCACAAGCCCTACCAGCTGAAGGAGAGGAAGAGGATTAAGAGAGCTGGTGAGTTGGTTTGGCTTTGGGGAGGGGTGGTGAAAGTCCCTTCTTTTTTGCCCCGAGAGGGGCTGGAAAGTTCCTGACTGAGGGATGGGCAGAGCAAAGCTCCCGTTGTCCAGACAGCACTTCCAGTGGGATATCACGCTGCAGATAGAGATGGCAGCAGGTGATCCACCCCTTAACAAGCTGGGGTTGGGGTAGAAAGAGCAGCATCAGCCCGTGGACCATCCCATCCCTTGGGATCTCTGCAGGGAGCAGCGAATAACAAGAAGCTTCACCCCAACCCCACCCGCAGCCTGGCTGGGGCTGAGGCTGAGCCAGCTTTAGTCTCCAAAATAAGCAGAGCATGAATTTAATTCATCAAAGCTGGTTTTTTTTTTACTTCCCATCTAATGAGCACAAACGTGGAAGCTGTGGCAGGAGCGGAGGGAAGGGATGTGACAAACAGGAGCCTTTCTGCAAGGAATCGTCCTTGCTTTCCTCACTTGTCGCTTCAGCCCCCTCCTGGGCTAGAAATTCCATTGGCATCATCAAATTTAATAGCCAGTTCTCCAGGAATTTGTCAAAAGTCTTTTTGAACCCATTTCTGCCTTGGCTCCCACAGCAGCAGCAGCAAATTATCTGATGAAGGAAAGAAGCTGCTCTGGTTTGTGTTAACCCCACCCTGAGCGTTGTCCCCAGAGGGGCAGGGCCTCTCTGCCTCCCAGCCTTCCTCTGTCAAATGGAAAGAACAAGTTTTTCCATGAGCACAAAACATATTTAAAACCCACAGGTCATCAGTGTGATGGCAGAGCCAAGGCCACGTGTGCTCCCCCCTCCTGGGGGAAAAGGAAAACTGTACAAGTCCTGAGAAGAAGGAATAGAAACATCTTGGTCTCTCTTTGCTTCCCCTTCTGTATTTGGGAGATGTATTCCTAAAATCCACCTGTAAAATCACTTCCCTCTCAGCCAAGCCCGGGAGGAATTCACTGAGGAGAAAATAAATAATCTGATTATTTGATTTGTCTGAAAATGAGGCTTTGTAACACAACAGCAGGGAAAACGAACCTGGATTTTTGCGGGAACTTCCAACTCAGGAAGAAATTATTTTCACGGGCAGGTAAATGTTAGGACAAGAATTATATTCTCCCTAGACCTGTGACTTCATGAATTCCCTTCTCTGTTACCTCATCACTGCTGTGGCCTCAGAATGGTGCTAAAAAACATCCAATCCACTTTATCCCACTGCCAGGTACTTTTACATTCTGGAACACCCCTTTTTTTTCCATCCCCTGCGTGTAAAGTTGAAGCAAAGTGCCCCAAAGCTGAATTATCTGCTCCTGTGGCAAAAGGCCACCTGGATTTTTCCCACCATCCAGATCTCCCTGCTGTGAGGAACCGAAGGAGGTGACAGTAACCACATCACCAGCTCTCACTGGGATTTTCCAGCTGTGCTCTGCCCTGTTGGTGCAGGATAACGGCCCTTGGAACAGCCTGGGTTTGGCTTGGGAGGCAGCACAAGGTGACAGGAATTCAAGTTATTCACCTTGAGCGTTAATCACTGAAAACATTTGTGCTGTTGCCAAGAAGCCTCAATTCCTTTAATGCCTTTTCCTCCAGGCACGGCCAGCACTGCAGTGATTGCTTTTCCTGAGCAATTTCTATGGATCTGATATGGACTCCTGTAGAAAAGAAAACATTTGAAGTGCCAAAGACACTTCAGGAACCCACTTGTGCCACGGGGCAGTTCGGTCTCTTTGTCCACATTAAGTAAGTGTGGAGTGAGGTTTGCTTGGCTGGGCATCCAAAGAGGAGGCTCCCAAGTCCTTCCTCCTTTTGATTAGGGAAGGAAACCTCATGGAGGCTCCAGAGGAATGTCCATGAGAACAGGCAGTTCAGGAGTTTTGTTTCTGCTGGTTTTCATACAAATCCAGTTTCAACCTCTAGGCAACAGTGAATCCTTAAATGAAATAATTTCACCTGAAAGCAGAGGGGATTTACAGATGAGATCAGCCAGCCAGGAATGGGAATGCCACGGGAAGACTGAGGAGACAGGTGACAAATAACCCCCCAGGCTGAAGGAAGAACAAAGACATTTGTAAGAACAGCAGAGCAGACAGTTTGCAGATAGAAAACCCTGTCCTACATTGAACGTTCCGTGTTTGCAAATTGTTCGTCCTCCAGTGACTTTTCCTCCCCCCGTTGGGATGAGGGGAACGCTGTGATGGAACAGCTGCTGGTGTGCAGATGGATGCACAGGAACTGGAGGTGCCACAGATTCTCCTGTGTGACCTTGAGTGCTGCCTGATTGCCATTCCTGGCACACTGGCCCTGTGGAGCAGCCGGTGCTGAACACACCTCCCTCTAAGCAAGCCCTAAAGAGAACAGATTCAACCAGACCCTTAATCCTGGTGATGGCAGAACCGGTCAGATCCCCCGGTGCATCCGCGGATTTTTGGTCCTGCTCGACAGAGGCGGTTTGGGAAGAGCCTGTAAATGGTTTTGCACTTGTTTCTTTGCTTTGTGCCTTGAAGGCAGATGTGTGTGTGTACCACTGCAGGGTGTTCTCAGTGCTGCCTCCCTCAGGGATCTGAGATGGGAAACGTGAAGCACTCGGGAACAGGAATGCAAAGATTGGTTTCTCTTTTCCTCAGCGTAGAACAGGAATTCCTGTGCTGCCCCACGAGCTGTGGGTCTCTCTGGGGGAGCTGCTTTGGTTGAAAGCAGATCCACACTCCTGATTCCTCTGCTTTGGCTCTTGCAACCCAGCTCAGCACTCCGAGATGCACTGAAGGCACCTCCTGCATGCTGAGCCCTCATCCCTCAGAATGGAGATTGGGCTGGGCCTGGCAGGAACCAGAGAAGTGCTTTTAAGGTTCCCAAGAGCTGCTTTTTAAGTGCTGGTGTCTCTCTCCCCGCAGGCGGCTTCATCAGCTTCAACGGCTCGTGGCGCGTGCAGGGGATCCTGGCCATGTCCCGCTCCCTGGGGGATTACCCCCTGAAGAACCTGAACGTCGTGATCCCCGATCCCGACATCCTCAGCTTTGACCTGGACAAACTGCAGCCAGAGTTCATGATCCTGGCCTCTGACGGGCTGTGGGACGCCTTCAGCAACGAGGAGGCCGTGAGGTTCATCAAGGAGCGCCTGGACGAGCCGCACTTCGGCGCCAAGAGCATCGTCCTGCAGTCCTTCTACAGGGGCTGCCCCGACAACATCACAGTCATGGTGGTGAAGTTCAGGAGTAGCAGCAGCAAAGCAGAGGAGCAGCAGTGAGCAGAGGCTCCCTCTGGACTCGGCACGCACGCAGCGGGAAGCTGGAGTGGAGGCCGCTCGGATCGCCCGCAGGAGGAGCGGATCCCTCCGGCCTCTGTCCTGTGCTTGACACCGGGAGCAATACAACCAGCCCACGCTGAGCAGTGACAGCACTTCAGTTTGTCCACCTCGCCCCTGCTCCTCCAGAACTCGCTGGAACCTTCCATTGCACCATTTTCTCTCCGGATCCCGTGCGGTTCGGCCGCTCCCCTCCCGTTTGTGACGCTCCAGGGTGGGTCCGGCTGCACGGCAGGGTCAGGGCAGTGCTGCTGCTTTTCCCCCCAGAGCTGGCACTGCCCACCTTCCTCATCCCTTTAACCCACGGTGATAAGGCTGAATAGGAAAAGGTGGGTGATTTTTTTGGCCTCTGGCACGAAGGAGGAAGAGGAGCCAACTCTGCCCCTGCTGCCACACTCTTGGCTCTGTCGCTTCATTTAACCTCCCCCCCCTCCCCACCTCCAGTAAATCCCTGCCAAGCATGTGAGTAGGTAGAGCTGCTGAATTACCTGAAGCCACAAGTTTATTCAGGCTGTGCATTACTCTATAACAGTTCTAGGCCATATTGTATCCAAACCAACTGATGGCAAAGTTCAGCAAAATACTCTGAGGTTCTGACACCTCCTGGATGAGAAAAGAGCTCGGGCTGTGAGAGCAGAATGTCTGTCCTGCACCAAGGATCACCCTGACCTTATTTTGGACTTGGCAAGCGAAATGCAAGGTAAAATTAATGTCATTAGTGACTGCTGGGAACCTCATCAAAGCAGGGCTTTCCTCAGAGCTGCCCCAGTCAGGGCTGTCCAGGTGGTTATCCCTGGTGCCAACTGCAGATGGATTCGTGGTGTTAATCCCGGGGCAGAACCCTGTTTTGGGATAATGTACAAATGCCAGGCAGCATCACTGCACTGCAGAGATGAAAGGTTGTGTTAAATCTAGAGAAAACCCTGCTTAGTTCTAACTGTCAGTATTTAATTGTATTTTGGAACCTGTGACTGGTGTAAGTTTGACCGAGGGCTGGGTGAGTTTGTTCTGCCCGTGGTAACAACTGCAGAGAGGGACAGGGTGTGTGGGATGAACAGACCAGGCTGGATAATTGTAATAATCCTTGGAATCTCCCTGCAAAACGTGGTCCTGGACCATCTGCTCAAGGTTCAGGGTGCTGGAGGTGGTTGGTGTTTGGGTCTGGAGGGGAATCAGGGATCTGCTGCATTAACTGGCATTGCTGTTCTTGGGTGCTGAGCAGGTCTGGGTCTCTCAAGGAGAAAATCAAAGAGCATAAAATTCCTGCTCGAGAGGGAATTCCCGTCTTAGTCTTTCCAGTTCTGTTCCTAGCTTACCTCTTCCCCAAGGAACCTTCCTCCTTTAATTTGTTGGGGGTAATCACAGCTCTTAATTGGATCTGTTGCCTTTACCAGGACTGTCCAAAATGTGGAGGGGATCCCCTTGGCAGCCTCTGCTCAGCCCACACTCCAGGCAGAGCCCTTTGAGAAGTGAAAAGCAGGAGAGGGAAGTGTCCAGCCCTGCTCCTTCCCTGGAGGATGGGAGGCTCCTGCCTTTTTTTAATCCCTTGAGCAGTGACTTGGCAATGCAGCTTGGCAGCTCCATCCAGCAGCTCCCAGGAAACCTTAAAAACTGCACAGCACTTCAGTTATTTTAGTTTGAAAAGGTATTTGAGGTCAGAAGGCTGGAAAATGCAAACCTGGGGTGGCATTTCCATGGGAGTGCTCAGTCCTGGAGCCAGGAATGGCACAGCAGCAGAGTCAGAGCTCCAGGCAGAGCCTTTCCTGTGTCCTTCGCAGGAGATGTCCCATTGCACCAGCTTTGCTGTGGAGGGCACAGCCTGGGGAGCTGCCAGGAGAGAGAAGGAGAATCCCTGAGGGATCCGTGACCTTCTCCTGAGCATCCCTGAGGGATCTGTGACCTTCTCCTGAGCATCCCTGAGGGATCTGTGACCTTCTCCTGAGCATCCCTGAGGGATCCATGACCTTCTCCTGAGCATCCCTGAGGGATCCATGACCTTCTCCAGCACACTGGCTGTGCTCCAGCACTCGTGACAGACAGGAAAATGAGGTGGCAGGAATTCCCAGCCATGAGGGAGCAGGGGGAGGGCGGTTCACTCTGGAAGCAAACCCTGCTCTCAGGATTTAGGAAAACAGTGCAGAACAGAAGGGGTTTGCCTGGATGTTTACTCCAGGATCATTCCCTCTGTCACTCCCACAAAGCTTCTCCCCCAAACCTCCACTGAACTTCGCTGATTTGTGCCAAATCCCGTGGTGACACAGCTGGGGGACGGCGAGGGTGAGTGATGCACCTTTTTGCTGATGCCACCTGAACAATCCAGGGTTCTCCCACTGCCTTAACGCTCCATCCTCCAGCTGGGAAGGGTTGCCCTGGCACGAGGGGCTCCTCCCACCTGCTCTGCTGCCTGGGCACCTCTCCAGAGAAAGAGCTGCCTTTCTGGGGGCACAGCTGGGAGCTCCTCTTGCCATGGAAGTTCTTTGGAGCCCGAGTCGCTCCGTTGGTGACATCGGTGCCCTCGGGAAGAGCCTCCCGTGGCACAGAACTGATGGACTGAGTTGCTGCCAAAGAGCATCTTTCCCCTGGTCCAATGTGACAAAATGTACCTTTGTCAGTAGTTCAGCTGGTCCAGTGCTCGAGGAATTGGGGCTGTTCCCAGGGGGACGTCACAAGCTCCC